TTTTTGTTAGCAGTTTATTTTAGATGTAGGACATTTTCATGTATAAAGTGGATGTACACACAGTTTATTAATGAAAATGTCCATTTTGTTATTGAATGTTGAAAAACAAAAGTATGCCATTTCAATTGAGATCATGACCTGTACATCTTAATTCGGCAAAATGACAAGTGTATAAAGTGGATGTACATAGTTTATTAATGAAAATGTCCATTTTGTTATTGAAAGTTATCATTAAATGTTGAAAAACAAAAGTATGCCATTTCAATTTGTGATACGCCAAATATAATAAATCTGCCTTTGCCTCAGCTGATTATTGATCATAACCGCCGAATACATAAATGAAAAGTTCATGGGATCGGGTGGGGCATTGTAGGTATTCAGTGAAATGCTTTGAAAATAAGCCGAATAGATTAATAATTCTACCCTTGCCCCAACTGTTCACTGAATAGAACCGCCGAATATGTAAAAGAAAAGTTCATGGGATCAGGTGGGGCATTGTAGTTATTCGGAAAATGGGTGAAAATAAGTCGAATATATTAATAATGTCGCCCTTGCTCCAACTGATCATTGAATAGAACTGCCGAATATGTAAACAAAAAATTCATGGGATCAGGTGGGGCATTGTAGTTATTCGGTGAAATGCGTGAAAATAAGCCGAATATATTAATAATGCTGCCCTTGCCCCAGCTGATCATTGAATAGAACCACCGAATATGTAAACAAAAAGTTCATGGATTAGGTGGGGCATTGTAGTTATTCGATGAAATGTTTGAAGCGGTCACTTCGTAAACGTTGCATCTGTAATTAATAAGCGCCCAAGGGGGGAGGAAGAGGGGAGGGGTAGGCACACATGGGTCCTGTGTTGTCGTTAAATATACTTTGCTTAAATTCAACAGTGTGCGAGAGGGAAAAGAGCATTGTATCGAACTGAGGAAATTTTTATGTCAAAAAGAGTATTCTTTAACAGCAGAGGGGAGGGCAGGACGCTAACTGAACTGGATTTAGAAATGAATCGAGAGGCTGGTGGTGAACCTGCATGAACGGGTAACAAGACGTCAGAGGAACGTGAGAGGCGTCCCTCCCCCCCGTTGTCGAAGTAGGTCTCGAAGAGGGGACGGGGCAGAGAAGTCACAAAGAAAGGAGAGGCAACAGCGAGGGAGCTCTTCCCTGTTCGCGAAATGAAACCAGCAGGCCACCACGCTTGTTGAGTTTTTCGGTTTTTGTTGGGAATAAACTGATGACTGAAGCAGATTCAATTATCCGGGATCCAAATGTGGCAGTAGAGTTTACTCGACAAATTTTCCGCCTGAAATCCAACAATCAATGGTCGGTCGGCCTTATTACGAAATTTTTTGAGAGGGCGTCCATAGAGCGGTAAAGGGACTATACACCTCTTATGAAATTGGTATGCACCTTCGTGCCGCACGAAGAGAGATAGAATAGAAAGACAGCCACATTCAAAGTTTGGAACATCGCGCAGAAAAGGCCAAGAACGAGCTGAGAAAAGCTAAGGCTTTTGAAACGCAGTCGGTGGGTCAAACGAACATGATTGTGACAGAAAGAGTGAACCAACGCCTTCTTGATCATGCCGTTGCCGATCGTGATACGGCGAGCATGTTCGCAAGAGAAGTGATAAGAATGAGGGCCTACAAACAAGGCTTTTTTGACTGTCGAAGAATTGGTATTGAAAAGACTAGGAGAAAGTTAGCCAATGACGTTTGCCGATGCGAAAATCGTAGATTTAAGCATGGATGGATTAAGGCTCTACAAGCCGCAGGTAACGATTCAGCGTCACCTCTATTTCAGAATTACAAGTTTCCCTTCGAAGCTTACGACACCGAAAAATCGACGACGAAGAAGGTGCCGAGCTGGAGAAGACTTAGATATCAAGAAACATATTATTAAACTTTTGAATTTGTCAAAAGCCATGTATTTGTACCTCTTTGGTAAAAACAAATAAATATTTGTTACATTGCTTTGTTTAATGTTTGTATCAACATGTGTGATAATTGCATATTTGTTGGTCCATGCCACTGTATTGCCAAATATAAAAAGCATTTTGAATTCAGAGGATTACTCGGCCATTCGTGGTCATGCACAAAGGGCGCTCCGAATTCGGAGTCTATTCAATCGTGATATCCATAAAGGGCGCTCTGACTTAGAAGGCTTATTTGGCCCAAACGTGAACAGGCACGAAGGGCGCTCCGAATTCGGAGGCTTTTTTGGCCCAAACGTGATATCCACGAAGGGCACTCCAAATTCGGAGTCTTTGTGATGGCCAATTGTGGTACACGAAAGGTGCTCTGAATTTGAAGGCTTATTCTTCCTAAACGTGATATCTACGAAGGGCGCTCCGAATTCGGAGGCTTATTCAGCCCAAACGTGATATCCATGAAGGGCATTCCGAATTCGGAGTCTTTGTGTCGGCCAATCTTGATACATGAAGGGCGCTCTGAATTTGGAGGCATATTCGGCCCAAACGTGATATCCACGAAGGGCGCTCTGAATTCGGAGTCTTTGTGTTGGCCAATCATGATACACGAGGGGCGCTCCAAATTCGGAGGCTTATTCGGAACGTGATATCTACGGAGGGTGCTCTGAATTCAGAGTCTTTGTAATGGCCAATCGTGATACACGAAGGGTGCTCCAAATTTGAAGGCTTATTCGGCCCAAATGTGATATCCACGAAGGGCACTCCGAATTCAAAGTATTTATATTGGCCAATCGTGATACAGGAAGGGCGCTCCAAATTTAGAAGCTTATGTGCCGCAAACGTGATATCCACGAAGGGCACTCCGAATTCGGTGTCTTTGTATTGGCCAATCATGATACATGACGGGCGCTCCAAATTCAGACGTTTATTCGGCCCAAACGTGATATCCACGAAGGGTGTTTCGAATTTGGAGGCTTATTCGGCCCAAACGTGATATTCACGAAGGGCGCTCCGAATTCAGAGGCTTTTTTTTATTTTTATTTTTTTATATTAAACCCTTATTAACGAGACTGCGATAAAAAGGGCATTGCATTGCAGAATTCGTAGATGTGTACATGTTAACATAACAGCCAAAATTAGAAGCAAGCTAGCACACCATATAAGTTGGCTTAATGATAAAATTTACACAAATGTGTGGAATTCCAAGGGGCATAACAAACTTCTGCCAGTCATGTCTGAAAGCTGATATGCCTCTGTTTTGGCAATTGAATCAATCTGATAAGGGCCATCCCAGTTGGGGCCTAATTTACCGTCTGCCGCATTCTTAGTAACATGAAGCACTTTCTTGAGGACCAGTTCTCCAGGTGTATAATGACACAACTGCACGTGCTGGTTGTATGACTTGGCGAGCTACTCCTGATACCGCACCATGCACGCAAGAGCACGATCTCGACATTCTTCAATCAAAGTCAGATCTAAGGCCAACATCATGTCATTACGGCCCGTGTCAAAAACCTTGGATTTCAGTGTGGGTAGGCCGATTTCAAGAGGGATAATTGCCTGTGTCCCAAAGCACAAAGTGAACGGCGTTTTCCTAGTAGATCGCCTTGGAGTAGTGTGATGAGCCCACAACACACTCGGCAATTCTACAACCCACTTGCCTTTGGCTTTTTCTAACCGTTTCTTGATGTCGTCCAAGATCACTTTATTGGAAGCTTTCGCCTGACCGTTGCTTTGTGGGTATGTCGGCGAGGAAAAGTAGGGCTGGATACCATATGTGTTACATAACTCCCGATAGACTCCACAATCGAATTAGGTGCCGTTGTCGGAGACAAGTGCTCTCGGTATGCCGAATCGTGTTATGATGTTTTTCTATACAAAACGTTTAACATCGACATCTCGAATATGTGTTAAGGTCTCTGCTTCGACCCGCTTTGTAAAATATTCTGTTGTGACAATCAAGAATCGCTTGTTCCCTGGAGCCTGAGGTAATGGTCCGACGATATCAAGTCCCCATTGAACGAATGGCCAAGGACTAGTAATAGAATTTAATTATCTGGCTAGCAGATAAGTTAAAGGGGAAAAATTTTGGCATTGTTCGCACTTCTTTACGTAGGTCTCGGCATCTGTTCGCATGGTCGGCCAATAATACCCCTGTGTTACGGCTCGGTAGGCCAATGAGTGTCCTTCAAAATGGGCGCCACAGCTACCTTCATGTATTTCGGCCAAGAGTTCATCAACTTTATCTCAGTGAACACATTCTAGGTACGGCCCAGAGAGAGATTTTTTGTAAAGCTTTCCCTGCGGATCCAGATAGTATCGCAAGGCTTTATTTTGCAGCTTGTGGGCTTCTTTCTTATCCCTTAGGAGTTGTTTTGAGGAAAGGAATGCAGCGATAGGATCCATCCAACTTTGGTCCTGGTTTAATGATGTTAATCTGAACTGGTTTAGAAGAGGTGATGCTCAACTTTGGGATGAACCCCACTTCGATTGTTCGTTTGACTTCTGAGTTAATGGTGGAGGCTAGGCAAGCAAGGGCATCCACATGCGTGTTCTGATCCCGGGTTATTTGATTCAATTTGTGGTCGTCAAATTTCGTGAGCAAGGAATTCGCCGTTTTCATGTAGGCTGACATGCGGTCATTTTTGGCTGCATACTCCCCTTTCAATTGGTTGATGACCAATTTCGAGTCACATAAAACAAGCAACCGCCATGCACCAAGGTGAAGTGCGTTACGAAGGCTGGTTAGCAATGCTTCATATTCGGCCTCGTTATTTGATGGATCAAAGCCTAGTTTGACTGCCTGTTCGATTATTGCCCCTTTGAGGGTCATGATTACTATGTCTGTCCTGCTGCCACGTTGGTTGGATGATCCGTCACAATACATCTGCCAAATGTCTTCAGCATACATTCACCAGTCGGGTTTAGGTTGTACTTGATCAAACTTGAAGTCAGCATGGCATCCCGTGAACTCGGCTACGAAATCGGCGAGCACTTGCCCCTTTATGGAAGTTCTAGGCAAAAACTGGATATCATATTGGCCGAGTTCCAAAGCCCATTTCAAGACTCACCCTGATGCTTCCGCGTTGCGGAGCGCTGACCGGAAGGGATAGTCCGTTAATGCCCCTATAATGTGAGCCTGAAAATACTGCATTAATTTTCTTGCAGCCATCACGAGAGCAAGGATGAGCTTTTCTAGTGGTAGATACTGAGTTTTGGCGTCGACCATTGCCTTGCTTACATAGTAAATTGGTCGCTGTTCCTCGAGTTCTTCCTTTAGTAGCACGGCGCTGACCGCCCGATCAGATACTGCTAGATACAAGATGAGCAGATCGCTTGCCGATGGAGTTTCCAAGAGTGGTACTGATCGGAGATAAGTTTTCAAGCCATCTAGCGCGGCCTGGCACTCGGGAGTCCATTCAAATGCTTTGCCCTACCGAAGTGTGTGAAAAAATTGTCAGTAGCAATCTGAGGAACAGCTGATAAACCTATTGAGGGCGGCGGCCATCCCCACAAACTTCTGAACTTTTTTGACCAATCGAGGGGAGCTGAGTTCTAGAATTGCTGTGATTTGCCTCGGGTTGGCCTCTATTCCTTGATGGTTGACAATATAGCCAAGAAATTTGCCAAATTCGATGTGGAATGCGTATTTCGAGGCGTTCAGCTTTATCTTGTACTTTTGGAGGATGTCGAAGGTCTCTGCTAAATCGACTAGATGGGTGTGCTTTTCCTTGGACTTCATCACCATGTCATCGATGTATACTTCCATGGTGTGGCCGAGTTGTTCCTTGAACATAGTGGTAACTAGTCTTTGGTAAGTTGCCCCCGCATTCTTCAGTCCGAAGGGCATGACCTTATAGCAATAAGTTCCCCTTAGGGTGAGGAATGCGGCTTTTTCTTGATCCTTCAGATGCATGGTAATTTGGTGATAACCCCTGTAGGCATCCAAGAAGCTCATGCGTTGGTGATGTGTCGTTGGGTCCACAAGTTGGTCGATTTTGGAAAGAGAAAAGCAATCCTTTGGACAGGCCTTGTTCAAGTCCGTGAAATCGACACAAATGCACCAAGATCCATTTTTCTTCCTTACAACCACAGTATTGGACGTCCATATGGGATAAGTGACTTCACAAATTGCCTCGGCATCAAGCAATTTGTGTGGTGTCCATGCAAACAAGTCAAGGTTGCCGAGTAAGAAGGACACCAGCTCGGTTCTATCAACATTGCTCAAGGAAATGCCGATCATGAAGAATCTGTCAGGACTCCCATTGATTTTGATCTGATCAAGGTCTTCAGTTGCCTTTTTACTGGGGATTGTCCCAATGTCCTTGAGGCTCACTCGATTCGATATTTTAATCGAGTTCACTTTCACTTCCTTTGGTCTCTTTGCAGCAACAATGAGATAGCATGCCTGTGCCGATTTTTGAGAACCCCGAATTCGCTCATTGCCATACTTAGTTGGAAAGCGGAGTAATTGATGGTAGGTGCTCGGCATAGCCTGCATAGTATGCAACCAGGTCCTTCCCATGATAAGATTGTATAGTGACGGGAGTTTGACGATCAGAAATTCCACGTCTATTGATCTGGTGCTTGCCCGTACTGGTAGTGTGATCTTACCCAAAGGATATTCAGGGCTGGCATTGAATCCGAACAATGGGTAATTGGTCGGTAATAGATCCGAATCAGTGAAGCCGAGTTCAGCAAACGTCATGTAGTACATAATTTTTGAGGCGCTTCCTTGATCGAGAGAACACGCTCAACTGTGAATCTGTTCAACCGTAGCTTGACGACGAGGGGATCAGTGTGGGGGAGAGTTACTCCATCTAGGTCGGTGTCATCGAAGCTTATCCTGCCAGTTTTGTGGGGCCGTTTGGCTAGTCTGATTGGCTTGAGTAGGCTAGGTTGTAGCTGAATTGTATGTACCTCGGCTGATGGCGGTAGGCTGTATATCATGTGAATTACACCAAGTGGAGTGAATCCGGTCGTAGGGCTATTGTGTTTGATAGATTGTTCTTTTAGACGTATTGCGCCAGCCGGTCGTCTTGTACTAACTCCTCTAGGTGATCATTCAGTGCATAGTAGCTGTCAGTATCGTGGCCACGGTCCTTCTGATATTCACACCGCTTATCCATTCTTCTTGTATCAGGGGGTCCCATCATCTTCGACGACCACTTAAAGAATGGAAGATGTTGGACTTTAGATAGGATTTTACTGATTGGCTCTACTAATCTTGTATATTTCTTGTCTGAACGTCTTGTGCACCTGCAATCCACTTGATATTGTTCGTTTGAACAGTGCAAACATTGGCCAGTTGAACAGCGTAAATCATGCCGGTTGTCTTGTTTAGTCCGAGTCTGAGGTTCGGGGCTCCTTGATGGCATGACACTTATCGGCTGAACTAGACTAGATGGAGCCGGTTTAACGACATTCTGTCTAGCCTTGACGCGCAAGGCATCGTCTTCCACCTTACAGTATTCTTCAACTTTCTTCATTAGCGCCCAGACTATTTTGGGAGGCCATCTGGTTAACGAACTACGGAGAGGACTATCAGGGTGTAATCCCATCTTAAAGGCGGTAATGGCTATGGAATCATTGCAGGCATCATCCACCAAGTTGAAACATTGCCAATAGCGCGTCGAATACTTATGGAGGGTCTTTTCTGGTTTAATTTGCATTGCCCATAGAGAGTCGGCTTGCTTTGGCTGAACTTTGTTGGTGATAAATCTTGCCTTGAAGGATTTTTGGAGTTGATGAAAGCTTCTTATCGACACCGGCTCTAGTTTATAGTACCATCTGATGGCCAACGGTCCCAAGCTACTTGGAAACATTCGACACATGTGGGCTTCATCATCAGCATGCAATGTCATCGCTTGTTTATAATGGCGAATGTGGTCATTGGGATCTGACTTTCCGTCGTATAGGGTGAATGTTGGTGCTTTGAATTTTTTAGGCAGCACAACCCTTGCAATGTGTCGTACGAAAAGGTCGTGCATGTCTTCTTCATCCAAATCATCACTCACTTTCCCTCGCCTATGCCGTACATATGGACTTCCTTCGGATGAGCTCGATACATCGACTCGCCACTTTTTTTTGGGTTCCTGAGATGGTGAGTCGGAATCATTACCGTTATTATGTTTCTGAAGTTGATGCCGTCGATCATCCTTCTTCTTTTCTGGGAATCGACCCTGGTCACGGCGTGCGGCCTATTGGGATTTGGCTAACTGCAGGGCCAATTCCTTACGCAAGTACTCGTTCTCAGCCATCATATCTTCTAGACGCTGTTCGTTTCGTTTTGCTTGATCCATGATCCTCTGCATAGTCTCTTGCACAAAAGTTGAGGGTGAGGTTTGAGCTACTGGGTCGAAGTTCAAGGCCCGTCGCGCGGTGATATTCTCTGGTCCAAGCATGTTTTTTGGAGTAATGTCATCTCTTGGTGTAACATCGTTAGCAACTATCGAAGGATCATCTGTCATGCCTGTCATGGACGCACTTGAGTATTCCCATAGACAGCGCCAATTGTGGTTAAGTGGTTTGGAAATACTCCAAAATCTAGTTAGACATCCTTGATCCTCTGATTGTTACCTGAAAAAGAGATGAACACTCCGGTCGGGGGTGACGGAATTAGTACTTCGACGGACAAGTCAATATTCTCTCAATTTACTTCTATCTCAAGTTATCTTGTATATTCACACATACCTCTCTTTGGCTAATGCTTTTCCTTTTTATATTGCTCTCCAGGGGCCCACCCTTTCATCATCACCCTTCATCATCATATCTGGGACCCCCAGGTATGTTAGAAACTATTCGGCATATTCGACCTACGGTCTAGATTTTACTTGGCCTTGTTCTTGTTCAATGGGTTTGATCATGCCGAGTTAGCCTTACCAGCATTCTCGGTGCTCTATTTGAACCTCTTGAGCACATAATTATTCGGCCCCCACAGTTTTTTTTTTAGCCTAAAAGAGGCTAAAATTTTTCTGGCCAAACAACCCTTATATAAGTTTACACAACGTCAATCTACCTATAAATAATCTTTAACTTTATACAACGTCAATCATCTTCAAAGTGTGTCAACGATAAAACCAAAAACAATGTAAATTCTACCTTCGAATTCCCCAGCTTTGCACCAATACAAATTTATTGACGTTTAATGCATGTGCTTGCACTAATACACAAAGTAAAAAGACGCTTTATGGTTAAATGATCTTCTTCTAGCTATCAAAACAAATATTCAGAAAGTGCATTAGTATATTCTCAAATTACTTTCACATATACACATGACAAAGTTTTAGATTTACACTTGAAAATGAAGTGCATAGTTCCATACACTTAAAAATGACAAATCAAGATAAGTTTCTTCATCAGCAAAAAGGCAGAAATCAATTATGACAGAAATAACTGTAAAATTAATTATGCCTAGGCTCTATTACATTCCAAAACAATTACCAAATCATTTAATAGAAGTGTCTAGGTGAAAATTGGAATATTTAAGATGAAGTTTTAAAGATAGAAGGTTTGGAATATATAAAACTTAACAAATTGCTTAAAATTTGGAAGATTCTAAATGCCTCAATGAAATTAACCTAGAACGATGAAATTCTCAACAACCAATTAGAGAATTCTAAAAAAATAAAAAGCCTTATGCTAATGAGATTAATGAAAGCTTGAACAATATGATACTACACATTTAAACAAATTAAGTCATTAATTTCAAAATCAATTAACTGAAAAAATTCAAATCCTAATCATTAACACAAAGAAGCCTTGCACTTGAACATGAATTTGAAATATTAGTAAATAAAAACTCAAACTTAGCTTTAGAGTTATAAAACAAATTAACTCATGAATTCTATTATTCTGTTAAAGCCGATTCATTGAAATTGCTTAAATGGTTGAATTTACAAAATCATTGCATTCATATAATTCATATAATGCCCAATGTGACTAAACTAATCGTGTAATTGAAAAAGTACTTTAAATCAGAGTAATTACACATATGATTAATTTGAAAGTCATTAATTATGTCAACTGCAACAACTTTAAAATTGAAATTGTCACATTAAAAAATAACTAAAGTAAAACGACTTTAAAGTGGTCCAATATGAATTGCTAGCATATCACTTGTGCCTAAAGGCACTCTTATATAAACAATTTAAATGGTTGAAACTTTTCTCTATAAAAAAATAAAAAATAAAAGACAAATCATATAACATGGAAGTATAAAGAGATTACCCTAATTGGAGAGTTCAAGGGTGCCATTGGTTTGTTTCCTACTATCAATGAACAACTCCAGATTCTTTCAAAAGCTTCTTCATCTCATCTAATTCCTATGGATTCATATCCAACTAATAGTGGTAGAGTATTTAGCATGAATAAGAAAGAAGATTTAAAAAGCAAAATTAGTTTAGGAACATGACATATTTCACAAAATTATTTAGGAACATAAAATCTAAATAAGAGTATTTAGGAACATGACATATTTTCAAAGTACCTACCCTGAGAAAAGTAGAAAATTTAAAATTTACTTGGCAAAAGTGTCATCCTTCAAAAATATATAAAAATAATGCTCAAATAGAAAACATTACTAACATAACTGTGAAACATAAAATGTTATAAAATTCATGCGAGGTTATCACTTTGGATGCTATTTAGGATAAAGATGAAAGAGAAATGTGCCTTTAAACATTATCATATGTTTTCAAAACAAATTGAATAAAGTATGCACAAATTGTTGCTCACTTGAGATTGCCACTCTTTCAACACTCATCCATCAAAGAAGAGCATGTTTAGTTTACACATCTCTAGCAATTATTTAACTCCCACAACAATAAATACAAAATCAAATAGAGATAAGAAAAACTTAAGCTTAACAAAATGTAGAACTGTAAAAAAGGACCCGATATTACCATTCGCTTTTAGTCTTCATCCACCTGTGAAATACATAAAAGAGCCAATATGATAATTAAAAGAGACTACCCAATTCAAAACAAACACACTGTATACATACCATTTTTTCCGCACTTAAGACTTAGGCGCTTCATTCCAAACACCCAATGATGAAATGTTACGCTGTGCAATCTTTTGAATCTTTAGCGAAAGAATTTGGTTTTGAGCTTCAAACCCAAACACCCCGAAAACCCTTTCTTTGTAGCCTGACCACTCAAAGAGCAGCAAGACCAAAAGATGGCCAGCATGCCATATTATTTGGGCCGGCTACATCTTCTTGGATGGCTGACCATGTTTAGCGCAGGAGATCTTTTTGCAGCATAGGTTGCTCCCATGCATCGGGTTTGGCCACTGTTCTCTTTTGAAGATATTTCCATTGGAAGGTGGTTAAAAATCTATAAAATGGGCCATGTCCCTTCAGAATTCAGGGTTAGAGAATTGTTTTACAAGCTTCGGATTTCTTTCAAATCTCTCTCTCTCTCTCTCTCTCTCTCCTGATATTCAAAATAGATACAATATAGATACACCATTGAAGCTTGAATTTGAAGCTTTTGGGTAAAGTTTTGAAACTGATTTTAGATACTTGAGAGTGTTTGGATTAAGATTTGTGAACCGAGAAACTCTTCCTCTTTTCTAGAGGTTGATCTTTGAACTCTTTTCATTACCTATTCTTTTACTCTCTTGTTCTTCATCCTCTGTTTTAAATATTGATTTTTAGAGTGTTTTTAGGCTTTAAAATGTGATTTAAATCTTGTTGAAGGTGGA